TATTTTACCAGTAAATCGCAACCTTTTCCTTCTCGTGACAGTCCTGTCTGTCTTTCCTGGTTTTGCAGCTCGTTTCTATACAGAAGGCAGAAGACTGTAATGTAACCTACAAAACTGCGGGTTACGTCGTGATTTCTCAGAATGTGGGGACAGATCCTTGTGGTCACTTGGAAGTAGTCTACAAACCTCCAAAAGAAAATGCAGAGTTTCAAGTGTATTGGCCATACATTTAAATTTATGATCAGAGGGGCAGGACAAGAAAATATTCCCATCCTGCTCTGATGATTGGCTTTCCCCAGCGTTACAATCTTATCTAGTTACTGTTACACTTTTAAGATTGCTGGTAACTTTTTTTAAAATATATGTCTGATTGTATTTTAAATGTAATAAGGGTGCTTGAGCTCAATGCCTCATTATACATTTAAAGTAAACAAAAGGCAGAGACATTATTTGAGGTATCCCTTTTTGGTTTGTTTTTTTCTCATCAGGGCCGAGATGGAAGGAAGAATGTTATTCCTCATGTTCTGTCTGTGAGTGGAAACCTGGACCGAGGAGCATTAGCATATCTCTTTGATTCTCTACAGCTAGCTGAGAATCCATTAACAAAAAAGAAAAACTCACAGAGAAAGGTAACTTTCTGTAGAAAGTGTAAGGAAGAATGGACGGTGGAAGGCAGGGGCAGGTCTAAGTACAGAACCCACAGACAGTGTGGTAAATTCAGGCATGGAAATACCTGCGTTTGCCACATCTCCATGCTCTGTTCCCTTCCCCAACAGGTGCAGACAGAATGCTTTTCACTGGTAGCAATAGGCTGCCCCCACGGGACTGCCTCTGCGGTCCTTCGCACCCACAGAAGCAATTAGCAATTTTTCTCTCATTCTGAGGTCACCTGTCCTGTTTTACCTTCTCTCTGATGAGAAGGTAGCTCTTGCCGTGCAAGTGATAAGGAGTTAAGAGGAACTGGACTGTAGCTGCGGTGCTGGGAAAGAGGAGTTTGTCTCTTCTGGCAGCATTTGAAGGTTGCTGAGAAGAGTAGAAAAAGTGGGTCGCAGGTGGTAGCGGGGCATTTCCCCAAGGACCATCATTATTCCCACTTTTTCCCTGGTTTTCTGGAGTAAGAGTGCTAGCTTTCAGACAGCACTTGTTAATCAAACAGGCAGTAGACTTGATGGTAGCTGTCTGCTGGGCTGTCTCTGATCACTCTGTTTCTGTTAAAGATGATGGAGCTCTGCTAACAAAAATTCATGTCTTTTCTGGGGCTCAGCCAAAAGGGAATAATTTCTGCCATGCTAACCTAGCCGGCATGTGTGCTAGTTATATGAAATACAGCTTGCTTCTAATTCAGGATTTTGTGTTATGAGAAAATTTTGCATGTTTAGAAATTTCAGTGAAAAAATTTTAATATTTCCTATTCCAGCTACTAGGAAGAAAACTAACTCTGTCCCAGCCAAAACCAGGACAGTATGTTTAGACTAATTTCACACTAAATGCATTTAGTAATCTGTTGCTTTTTGTAAAATTATTAGGTACTTAAGCTTCATCCTTGTTTAGCACCTCTTAAAGTGGCCTTGGATGTAGGAAAAGGTCCAACAACAGAGCTGAGACAGGTACGTTGTACGAAAGAACTTAAATTTTGAGCATTGACTTTCCATGTAGCCTCCTGTTACAATTGAGACACTGTTTACGGTGGTGAAAATCATGCTGTACAGATTTTACAGTGCTTCTGCTATGCAGTTTGTGAGTCGCGGCCAAAGGTGCACACTGCAGACAGTGGGTAGTACGTGCCTTCTTTGCGTTAACACCCTGCTTTTAGTACTGGTAACAGAGTTGGTATTTGTTCCATGCAAAATTAAGGAAAATAAATAACACAATCCCTCTCGGGTTCTTAATCTTTCAGAATTATCTTAATGCATGGGTCACATCTTCAGAAGGATTTGTAGAAGTTTTTATTTAAGTCAGTCATTAAGCCAGTCCCCACAGAAGGGAGAAAACTTACATTGGCATGTTTTTAAATAGAAATGGAGATTTCATTGCCAGGCTGCTGTCTACTTTGAGATTGTTTCAGCCAGAAAATTAACACCGGCTAGGAATGCTAATACCACACATACTAGAGTTTTAATGGTCTCTTTGTATAGGATTTCAAACCCTCAAAGTCTGTCTTTTAACTTCCGTTTTTAAATAAACACAGGTTTGTCAAGGATTGTTCAATGAACTGTCAGAAAACAGAATTTCTGTATGGCCGGGTTATCTTGAAACCGTGCAGGTATCTCTGGAACAGCTTTATACAAAGTAAGGAGAAACAGTCTTTTGTAAATTAAACTATGAAGGTGAAAGATGACTTTCTGTGGACTAGTGTAAGTATGCCTGTTTTCAGTAAGAAGTCATCGAGTGCAGTAACCACATGACTGAAGGCATGTATCCCAAACTATAAACTTGAATTCAATTAGTTTTATTACAAAGAGCAATGTCAGTTCGTTTTTAAAGTTAAGTGAAGTATAACTTCAATAACACATGCTATTGTTGTTTCTCTGGAACTGTGAAATGCCTTTTTAGGGACTCTTCTATTGAAAATAAATTTCTTAAGACAGGTCATAAGCTCACAGAACTGTTTCCCACCCTCACCCCCATTTTTGCATTGGGACTGGTTCTGTGTTTCATTCTTAAGTACTATTTCAAACAGTTCACTGTGTCTAGTCCTGAACTTAAAAGTTCTTCCAAGTCTGGAAGCATTGCCGTTAGTGTATGTGATGGAATTATTTGTGCAGGTACCTACTATTGCAGTTGAGACCTTCATATATGATTTGTTCATCAGGAGTGACTTTTGAGCATATCACTGCTCATGTCAATGGATCTTGAGCACATTGATGAATATTTTTCCCCGAGAGAAAATAAATACGACTATTTGTTCTGTGCAGTAGTCTTCAAAGTAAGTCTGGCTATTAAATAACAGAAAAAGATATATTCTGCTTCTACAAAAATACTCTTGTAATAGGTCACCAAATAACGTTCTTTTTATGTACAAAAGTAACTAAATAATTCAAAGAAATGTAATCAGGAAAGCAAGGAATGGCAACAAGAAAACTGGTGTCTTCACACTGGACTTAGCGCAGTATAGCAAAAATAAATATTTACAGCTTATGGTCATTTGTACATAACTTATCTGAATTTTTCGTACAGCAAAAGCAGTAACAGGTGTGCTCTTTTCTTTGCAGGTACGATGAGATGAGTGTCCTCTTCATGGTCTTGATAACTGATGCCACTCTAGAGAATGGAGTGGTCCAGCTGAGAAGCAGAGACACCACCATGAAGGAAATGATGCACATTTCTAGGCTGAAGGACTTTTTAACTAAGTATGTAACATCAGCCAAAAATGTGTAAACTTAAATTCGTTGAATAAAAGGAATTTCTTAAACATCTGTGCCTGAATGGGCTTCTACAGTGTCATGGACTCAGTGGTTTCTCTGCAAATAGTTCTGCTAAAACTTGGTGGTGCATCTGTTTTCTGTCAAATCTAGACCATCTAGGTCTTCCAGGTTACCTTGAAAAGAGGGAAGGGATTAACTCGTCCCTCGTTAGCAAGGCTAACCATATTCTCTTTCATGTCTTCAGTTTTACTGTCTTATTGAAAATACTCCATCCTACCCTAAAAATTCATCTTTCATCTATGTATTGCTGACACAATGATGGTCTCTGGTGGAAAATGGTATTTTATATAAAAGACTTCCAAATCTTATATGTTTTAATAACATCAGTGAGTGTCTTTGTGCTATCTGTTTGTAGGAACGTATTTTAATCACATGGCCTCAGTTCTTCAACATTTAAGCTACTTCATCTTGCACTTGATAAACATAATCAGAAATACATTATCGAGAGTAACAAGAAATAGAAGAAATAAATTGTTAACAGTTTTTGAGAAGCATTTTTGTGGACAAAAAATGTATCTACATAGAAAATGGTGGAAAAAGACTAATGTGTGATCATATTTATCCTATACCTAAGTGTTGTAGTCAAAATCGGATACAAGAGTTTGCATAGATACGGAATTGAGTGATTCTGATCTTCTGTAGATTTACTGTGTGTGTACAGCTTGTTAAGTCACTGTATTAAAGTGCTTTAAGTTGTATGCAACAAGGCATGCAGCCACTGATAGTCATCAATGTCGTGAAACACAAGAACTTGCCTTAAAAATTTCTTCTATTAACGTGGTGCTTATTTAACTATAAACAAGTTATTTTTAACAATAATATTAATTGCTGCATAGTGTAATTATGCTAGATATAATGCAAGGTTAGCATAGTGTGGCTGTGTGACTTACTGAACTCATGGAATTCTACGTAAGCTGGCTATGGAATGATGTTAAAACAATCCAGAAACATCTAAGAAACAGCCGATAGCAGGATGCAGAATTTGTTCTGGAGTTAACTGTCCCACAAGTTGATTTTAGCATCCTATTCCTACTCTGAGAGCTGAAGTAATGTTGAACTGAGAAATGGCCATCCTTGCTGCTAGGTAGCAGCAGGTACAAAGGCCAAATACAGATCTTGTAGTGTGTGCCTAAGAGGACAACACAGTTGGGATATTTTGTTTTTAATACTTGACTGAAGGCTTTTGATTATCTTATGTTTGCATACAATCCAGTTTCTATTTCAGGAGAAGTGTTAAATGTACAGGAGCTTGGGTCTGGGTGAAAGCTTTACATCATTTATTCCTTTCTATTTCTTCATCAGATGCATAGAATGCCGGACTATATATTGTGTCCAGCAGGATCTTACCTGACAGTGATGGCATTGTTTTGGTTCATTTTGGTTTTTATGGTGCTGTTTGGGCAATAAGCTGCTGTTTGTCTAATGGATTGCTGTTTGGGTCTTTGTTAATTACAATTTTTATCCGTTCTGCTTTTTCTTTTAAATTGAAGTCCCTAGAGATTATGACTTGGGGAGTTTGCTTGCTAGTAGAGAACAAGTTATATTCTCTGTCTACAAAATAATTAGGCCAGGACACTAGTATCTAAACATCATCTCTTTCTGTGCAGGCTTGGTGGTACTTGCCACATCTGAGGACTGAAAGGTTCTTTAAAAATACATGATTAAGTTAATCACAAAAAAGATCTTACCTTGTACTCAGTCTCTGATGAGGACCTTTGAATAGACTGTAGCACATGCTCTGTGCTCTGCTAAAAGCCAAAATAACATAATTTGTAATTGCTTTTTTTGGTACAGATACACAACAGAAAAATTAATATTTCATCAGCAACTTGGTCACTAATAGCGTCTCCTGCATGGTTTCATAATGAGGCTGTTGAATTTTTGAGTCATAGGATGGTGATAGGCTTTTTATTTGGTTTTTTTGTTTGTTTTTTCCCCCCCTTAAAAGAATCTTAAAGTTATTCTGATTTCTCTGTAGTAAGTAAGCAATTTCAGTATGTAACTGCTACTATTTAAACCCTGCCTCTCCCCAGCAAAATCCCAATAGAACATATTTGTGTGCATCAGATGTTCCAATATTATAGCTTGAGGTTTTCACCTTTTTCATCTTCTCTTCTAATAACAGAAAAGTTGATGTATTCTTCTTCTGGTTTAACAGGGTCTGGATTAAAGATGATGAACAGCAGTTAACTCAATTACAAGAGACTGACCTGATTTTTTTTTTTTAATAATCTTGAAACAAAGCAGCAAGCATATTGAATATAATTCTGCCATGCTTTCTGTAGGGTTCATGGGCCTTATCAGAGCTCTTGTCGCTGCTCTTGCAGGCTTTGTGGGTAGAATGCTGATGGATATCTGGCATGAGCAGCTGCACAGAGCACTGAGCTAACACAGCAGAGCAGCTAGAATTCTGTCTATGAACAGGAAGGCAGATTTGTTCAGAGAGAACGATTCCCTTTTTGATATTTAGAAACAGGAAACAGAATACCTTTGCTGTTGGTTTGGGGGTTTCTTTTTGCCTTGAAAATATCGATATTCACATTTAAGGCAAATGCAGAAAACTACAAGATAATAGCATCATGGCTTTCATGTAATGTCTTTGTTATTGCGTATTTTCTGCAATTGAAGTAGTGCAATGTCTTAACGTAGGTCAGTTGCTTTGTTGTCTAGCATTCATAATTTCAGTTTGAACTGACTTTGACTCTTGTCAAAGTTAAACATGAAATGAAGAGCTACTGTGTACTGAACAGTTTTGAACAGAATGCAGGAGCTACAAATGTTTTATTTTCCTACAACTTGCATATAGCCCAATTTTATCTCAGTAAATGGGCATTGCACTGCTGATCTACTTACTGTCTTTTAATTTTCTTTTCTTCTGAAATGGCTATTTCAGTCCTCACCATGAGTTTCCAAATGCAATTCTTCATTTTACTTTTGTTTACAGTAGATTTTTGTATAGAACTTGAGTTCATCTAACCAGTTGCAGTTTTGGCTGCATGTTATTTACCGGTAGTGCCAAATAGGGATCCTGAGGGACTTCAAATAATGCCTCTGCCAGGCACCGTCAGTAGGAGTATTAGCTCACTTACTGAGTGGTAGTAGGTGTCCCCTTCTGCTGCTTTGGCCATACCTGAAGAAATTCGCCCTTGCTAGGTGCAAATAGTAGAATAGCGCTCTTCAACCAAACTCCCACAAGTGAATTTCACGACTGCATGGGGAGTAACATGAACGTACCAATCTCTGTGTATGTGACGTAGTTCGCAGACTCTTCTGCATTCATTGTTGAAGTAAGGCCAGTCGAGGACCTAGCAGACTTAATTTTTTCTACAAATTGTAAAAGAAAAACACATATATCACTTTTTCTTAGAGGGAAATAAACAGCTCAATGATTTTTTTTTTTTTTAGAATTTCCTTTCTTTACTAAGAACAATGAGGTCCAATTCCTTCCAACATTTATGTGTAATAAATTAGATGTTGCTTTGCTTCCCCCATCCCAGACCTGCCATCTAAAACATAGCTCAGAGGTTTTGCCTTGTCAATGTCTTGTTAAGTTGCCTATGCTGGTTAAGAGACTTGACAACATCCTAAAATACCAAGAGCATAACTCCGCTTATAACATGATGTTTACACACTAAAATGTATTGACAACATAAATGAGCAGCTCTGGAAAGTGAAACAGACATTCAAATAACTCACTTGCTTTATATGAAGGAATTATGAAGAGTGGAATTGCCAGAGCAAATCCTATAACGAATAGAAACAAGACCAGCCCAAGAGAAATGATCAAGGGTTGAGAATGGCTTCTCTCTTCTGCCAAAAAGAAAAAAAGAAAAGGTATTTATGCAATGAAATGTTGTTTCATATTTTAAATATTTTCTGTAAATTAAAATCAAGCCTTTGCATTTCTTTCAGCTTTTGGATTAACTGTAGTTAATGTAACCACTCAGGAGAGTCCCAAATGCACGCTGCCGCAGCAGAAGGAAGGGAGGTTGCTGATGCCAGTAGACTCTCTCTTTCGTAGGACCAGAGAGAAAAAAGAAACTAGACTCTCCCCAAGGTGGAGCGAGGTGAACCAGGGCCCAAGATTCACCAAAAGTGAATCTTCTACAGTCATCCTTCATGGTCAGTTCAACTTCTATCTAGGCTGCATGGAATTCTATCTTTTTGCATTAATTTTAAAAACTCAAATTATTTTTTCTTGTAAAAAAATATTTATATTGAACATTACATTGCAGGAACAAAATTTCTGGCTAAAAAACTTGCATTATTATAACTTTCTGAATTTTCTGGAGTCCCCGTTTATCAACAGTGGTAAACCATTTCACACGTGCATACCTGCTAATGTAAAGTTGAAACTGTTGCTGTATTTTGTATTATTGCGAAAGCTATTTTCAGCTTTGCATTTATAGGTTCCAAAGTCACTAGAGGAATTGATAAATAGAAAAATCACAGCTGCTTTGCTCTTGTACATCTTCACTGGGTGAGAGATGCTTTGTTTTCCTTTGAAGAATACGTATGTGATAGGAAGAGAGCCGTTCTCTGAGAGACAAGACAGGGTCACATTCTGGCCTTTCTTTGCTTGAGAGGTGGGTGAGCTCAGCACTGGTTTGGAAATTGGCTCTGTGAAAAGAAAACTGCATCACTGAGTACAGGACAAGTTCCAAAGCAAGACTTGGAGTTAAGTGGCAACACTGGCAAATGAGATGGGCATCAAGGATGGAGGGCTCAGTGAGCCAGATCAGAATAGCACTGCCAACTCCGAAGGAAATAATAGCCATTTGCAGTAAAGTTCAGCTCCGCAATCAAGGCAGGCGCACACTGCGGTCCAAAACAGTACCTGCCGCAAACAAACCCCTGCCTCCTGCTGCTGCAGATGTATTGCATCAGACACGGCTACGTGCCCCTAAAATAAAATGTGCTGAGAAGGTATACAGCAAGACATACCTAGAAGGGTGAAGTTGAGACTGTTGCTGTATTTTCCACCACTGGAGATGTTATTCTCAGCTTTGCATTTGTATTCACCCATGTCGCTGGCAGAGTTGATAGTCAAGTTAAATAAACCGGGAGTCAAGTCTGGCCTATTTAAAGTGGATACCTTCTGATTGCATTTAAACAATGTGTATCTGACAGGTGGAGATCCAGAGTCTGAGTGGCAGGAGAGGGTCACGTTCTGGTTCATCACTACATTCAAAGTCCTGTGAACAGGTATGAGCCTGGGATTGGACAGCATCTCTGGAAAGAAGAAACTTCTGAGTGAGTTCACAGCACCTATCATCCAAGAAACTCTCAGATTTTTCCCAAAATATGTTGAGGATCAGGATATACTTAGTTCTGTTGAAATAGGGGTTATATTTTTTTTCCACCTCCAGTAGCAGGCAACACACCTTTGTATTTTTCAAAATCAGTATGCAGCTTCAAACACTTGATGAAAAATGCATGTCTCCATACAAAAGAGAGCATATACACACAAAGCCAACAGATGTATCCACATGAATCAACAAAAATACTTTTGAACTACAGCAGCAATGAAAATAATAGAAGTATAAACGATAAATATAAATATTCTGGGGTGTTAATTGTAGGAGAAAGTAACTTTATATGCTAGTTGAGAGGTAGCATGGGAACCTGAAAATAAATGCAGTATTTTATTTGTGGTCATATGTGAACAGGCAGAATTAACCTTGTGTAAGTAGACTGAACTACTGAATAGTAGCAGCAGGAGCTTTGTCGGTCTATCAAATTAGTTTGCTTTTATGAAATCATACAAATAAACTTGCAATAAAAGCTTGTAATGCCTTTTAACAGAAAATGGTAATAAACCCATCATGACTAAAATAAATTATGACACTTCTAGAGGGGAAAAATATGTTTTAAGAAGTTAAAGCAATTTTGACTGTACATACAAGTCAGCAAAGAGACAGTTAACTTTGTATAGAAACTTGTAAACTGCCGCACTGCACAGACAGGCAAAAGATTTAATTTTACATGAAGGTTTTGGACATTTTTAAATCCCTCCCCCATTTTTTTGGTAACGGTCGATTTCAGCACATATCCCAAAACAAAAAAAAAAAGAACCTACCTTTGCCATATGCAGTAGTTTTCTGAATCTGCTGAGACATTTGAACTAAGAGAAGAAAAGAAAGCTTTCAGGCAAGAAACAATGGTTCTTGTTTAGAAAGATTTGTAATATGTAAGAAGTATGTCCTTGGCTTACGGTAGGAAAACAGCAGAATTGTGAGGAAGAACATTTTCTTGATACTGAGCAAGACAGCTGGTGAAGTTAAACTAATGAGATCTTTGAGGAGTGGCTCTCGGGGTTGAGGAAGTCCTAAATATGGAAACAGTGCTGATCTTTACTGATGTAAAGACTTTTGTCATGTTCCTCTTACATTTGACCTATGGCGGAGAGAGCAGTGGGCAGAAGAAAAAGCTGTGGAGTGAGGAACAGCAGTTTGGGATACGATTAAATGTTACGTACAGTTGTCCTAAAATGTAGCTGACATAATCAGCAGTTTTCCATGTGAGAGCTGTATGGTAGAACCGTGCTGCCATGCAGTGTACAAGACTACATAATTTTTCTAGCACTGTTCTTATAAGGGAATGAGATCACTGATTCATATCAAAGTCATACATTTACTTGAGGAAAATGCAAGTGGTCGTATGGCTGAGACTAAGGCAGTATGTGGTACTGGGTTTTTTAGCTGCAATGTAATTAAAAAAAAAAATTGTCCAAAAAAAGAGAATATACAATCTATAGAAGTTTTAAGATGCTAATAAATATTTATAGCTAGCCAGCTTGTTAAGGAAATATTTTGGTCAAACTTCAAATATTAAGCTGTACTAGAAGGCACAAATCTCAACAGGAACTTGAGTTCAACACCACTGTAGAAACAGATTTGATGACTAATTTGATCATCTAATCAGTAATACAAAGCTACGTAATTACAGCAAGTAGACCTTCTTTATTTGTCATCCTCTGGGCAAAGTAAATGTAATCTTTATCTATATGTGGGCAATGCCTTCTGAAGAACTCTAGGACCTGTTGCACATGAAGAAGAATGCCTTAGAAGTGTTTTTGTGATCCTTGTCTTATTTCTTTGTCTCCAGTTTCTGAAGGTAACAAGACAGAGTCTGTCCTCTTCACCAGTGTAATACAAAATCCCTCCCAAAGCCTGGTCTGTCACAGCATGGCAAAGTTTCTTCACAGAATTTTGTGTGCAACTTCCTTCCTCCTTGTTTGTTTTTTTGTTTGTTTGTTTAATTTCTTCTAAGACAACCTCCACCCTCTCCTCGCAAATGTTTCTTATGTGGAAATGCTGACACCTAACCACAAGACTGAAATATTTTTTTTGCAGCTGGCAGGAAGCTTGCGTAAAAATGCAGCTGTCAGGAGAAGAACTGGGAGAGTGTGTCCGTTTTCCTGTTGTGGAAGCCCGTTCTTTGCCAGAAAACCACAAAAAAGTCCTCAAGATCCTCGAAGCCAGGTGACAGAGAAGGAGAGGTGTCCCGACAGCTGCGAAGGAGCCCGGTGTCTCACCCTCCTGTCAGGAGGAGGCGGCGGCCGGCCCAGGGCAGCCGCCGGGAGGCTCTTACGGGCTGTGGCGCGAAGCCAGACCGCAGCCGCCCGCCGCCTCCCTCGGTCCCGCCGGAGGTTTCGGTGTCTTCGCGGCGTTCCGCTTGCGGCTGCGGGCGGTGAGGGGGCCTGGACCGCCCTCCCTTCCGCTGAGGCGCGGGCAGGGCGGCCCGGCCCGGTGTACGAAGGCTGGAGGGGCTGTGGACAGCCGGCTGCCTCACACCCAGCTGACGGCCGTCTAAGGAGAGGACGTGGAGCCGTTAAGCCGCCGGCGGTCTCACTCCTCCTACTCTGTAAAGCCCCTGAGGGGCTGGCTGATGTTGCTCACCAGGAACCAAGCGCCTTTTTCTAAGAAGCCGATTCATTTTGTGTGTGGGTAATGGCGAATAGTTACGGTGAGCTGTGACCTTTTAAAAAAGAAAGGTTTAGTTGTCACCAGGATCTCTCACGTACAGCAGCTTTAAATAGTGTGCGTGCAAAGAGCTGGCTTGGTTCCCTCAGGATGCACAGCCTGGGTATCCAGGGAAGGCAAGTGCTGGCTCAAAGCACAGGTTTCTATTTGGGAAGCGGGGAGAGCTCTTCCAGAACTGTTTGTGCCTTTCTTGGCTGGTTTGGACTCTGCCAGGCAACCCTGCTCGCTCTGTTCCCTTGGGTGGAGGTCCTGTGTTCAGTGCCTCAATGTTTGTTTTGGTTTTTGTTTTGTTTGCTTTGTTTTGTTTTCCTTGAAATTTGACTTCAGGGTTTGAAATAGGAGGGAATATGTTTTCTTTGATGCATCCCATTCTTCTCAACTATACGTGTAGGATTATGGTGAAGAACTGTGTTTCATTTAACTGTTCAATACTTGGGCCTAGCTGTTTCACCTGCCCAGATACCTGTTTACTTTTCAACTTTTATAATTGCTTTGCAGAGCATTGATAGAGACACTTCCTATGTAAAAAGGTTTTGTCACCCATTGTGATAGGATTTGGTAGCTGAGGCTTACTGATGAAGTTTGTATAAAAGCCAGACTGCAATTGCTAGATCACTACTAGGGGAGTAATAACACGTACTGGTTAGAAAATGAGACTTCAGATGAAGTTATAACATCAATGATTAAGTTACGTTGATGTAAAGAAACTTCCAGAAAAATTTACTTGACTACTCAGTCCTACAGGGGCAAGGAAGGGCTGGATATACTAGTATTTTGTTAAAGCATAATCCAATGGACTGTGTGTATTCATGGGAGTTGTGCATGCCAATGGCGCATTATTATTCTCCAGCACTACTCTTGGAATAACACTTTTAGTTTCTACTGGTTTATATGGATATAACTGTGATGAGTACTCAGCAGATCTGAAGGTGGATAGCATCTTTATGGCAGCTTTGTAAAAGGCTTTAAGGCAGTATTTTTCTACAACATGTGCTGGAAGTGTCCCAAAATTAAGAGAATGAGCTTCATTAAATCCTGTAGCATTACTCTGAGACAAAATGTTACTGTCTTGTTTTGCCCTTCAGCAAGGAGAACAGAATCCATATTGGCCATATGGCATTCAGCTGGCCATATTGTCAATGTGAGACAAGGAAAAAAGGCAAAACTAGCCCTTGGCATTACCTTTCTGTGAGGTTTTGAATACTGACTTTACCTTTGAATACTAACTAGCTCATTAGTCTCTTGAAGAGTGTCCTGGGTAGTAGTAAAAGAAGTTTACTTCCGTGTTGATTGTTTTTCTGGGAGAGCTGGCTGTTGGATTTGGAATAATATGATGTTGATTTGTTCAGCATGTATATGTAGAATTTTATAGCATCAGTAAGATACTGTGCAAGCTTGGAGTTCCCTTTTTATTATTACAGATTTCCTGCCTGGAATTAATGTGGTTGTACATGTAAGAAGAACTGAATAAATTTAACAAAGAATAATGAACAGAAGCCATCCAGCCAAAACCAGTAAGTTAAAAAGTCTGAAAGAGAGATGTGTATCACTTGGTGCTGTGACAATATTCTGCCTCAAGCAAGCAGGTGGAAGAGAATAAAAGCCAAACTGAGCTTTCATTCACAAGGTCAATTCTTTGACTTGAGAATGAAAACAGTGTGAGACAGCATTCTGTAGTAAGGCTGTGAAGGCTTCACACTGTATCTGTCCTTTTGTAGGCTTCCAGGGAAAGTTGCATGTTTCAGCAGAATTGCAAAAGTTATTCCCAGTCCCAGTTTCTCATCCTGAGAGGTCCTCCATTCTGGAAGAGCATCTGCTACAGTAGATGTCTGCAGAAGGTTTGCTAGGAATCACCATATACTGACAGTTAAGTCTGGTGATGAATTAAATTAAATGCTTCTGTTTTGTCTGCAAAAAGTTTTTACTGATATAGCTAGATCATCATGGAATACTGTATTTTTACACTCCTACTCAAAATGGCTGTGGTGGCAAGTCTGCTGTTTATTTTAACTACTTGGTATTTGATTGTGAGAAGATTGTTTTTCTAGAGGACAAGTAAGAGTAGAAGAGGAAAGGATCTCTTCTCTATGCATATTTAAAATATCTTTAAATTTCTTGCAATGAGGTTCTTGCGAGGTTCTTGCAAGGTTCTGAGTAAGAATTTTAATGTAGTGAATGGTTTTCAATGAACTGCAAATTGCAAGGAACATGTCAGTAGGTGAAAGGAACTTTCAATTTGATTAAC